TTTGGGATAGTTACTAAAAATTATAGGAGGAGTCATAACTTGGTGATTTACTGAGACTTTCATTTCTGAAAGTGTCACGGAAATCATCTACTTAAAAAAGTGGACGTTTATATTTAAGACTTGAGCAGATAGGCCAGTAACCAGCTATGAATGATGATTTGACATCCTAGAAGGTTTTCTAATGCAAAGATGTGTCCAGAGGATCTTAGAGTACTGTCTTAGCTTGTGATGTGGCCCGATTGTTTTGCAGATACATTCACTACGTAGACTCCAGAGGAGTCTTTAATACCACTCTCTGGATGCTGTGCAGTGAGTCAGCATGTCCGGATAATCAGTGATTTGTAGACCAGGCTGGCCAAGAACTCACAGAGATCTACCTGCCTGTGTCTCCCAAGTGTAGGATTAAAGGCGTGCTCCTACAGCTGGATCTTAGGAGGCATTTCTCTCTGCCGGGGCTCCCTTCTTGCTGAAGACTCTTGCTTGTGTTAAGTTGACATAAAAGCAGCCAGGACCGTGCAACAACTTAGCTTTTTGCAGGCGCATGTTTTTATCTTGTGAACTTCTTTCAGGCTTGATAGAGTAGTCCTCTATACATTGTCTGCATTTGCATATGCAGGCACAGTCACCTTTACTCATTAGTGTGTGCTCATGTGCTCGTGAGCCGGGCTGCAGCTGCAAGTCCTGGCCTACTTGCTTTGGTTCCTTCCTTGTGGCTGGTTTTCTCCAGTTGCAGAGATGCTTTAGATGAGCTAGAAACTGATGTATAATTATATCATTTCCTTTTCCTTCTCCAGCTCTTTCCATCTACCCCCTGCCCCCAGATTCCTGGCCTCTGGCCCTTTTCTCTAGTTGTTGTCACCCATCTGTAGAACTCGGTTTGGATGCATGATTTAGGCTGGACCACTTGGTATTAGGAAACCAACTGGGAGGAGAATTTTCTCCTGCTCTCAGCATCCCACGGTGACCTGCAGTTCTTTGTCTCGGGTTGAGGCCCCAAGAGATTTCGTCTTCCATGCTATTAGCATGTTCGTTGGTGTCATCCTTGTCCGTGTCTTTGATGACAGGCCTGTAGGAAGGCAGAGAATCCTCTAGCCATAGGCTAGACAAGTTGGGGACTTCTCCAGGGAAATTGCTGTCTCTGGTCATGTGAGAGTTCTTGAAGCTGTGCTGTGCCTGAAGCAGGGATTCAGTGGCCTCTGGACAGAGGTTTAGTCACTGAATTTTGTAGGGGTGCTTTTCCAACATCAAGTTCATGTTGGAAAGCTGCATGTTCCAGCCACACCTTTGGCAGCAGGTGTCCCTTGCCTGACCTAGGCTCTTAACTCCAGGATTACCCAGATTCAGTGGCTCAGTTTATATATAGGTCATGTAGTCTTTCTCAGAGGTATTCTGCCTGTTCAAATTGCCCTCCCGCCCTCTTTTCCCACTCCACTCTTGGAATTTCCTAGTGGGATTATTCCCAGTTAATCTTTTAGAGCCAAGAAAGCTGCAGTTATGGAAGGCCTTAAAACTCAGTGTAGAATGGACAGTCTGAGGCCTGGGTTAATAGACCTGAAAGGTTACAGGGCCGCAGACTTACCTGTCTGTGCTGATCTGTCCTTGCTTTCCCCTTGCCTTGTCCAACAAAGACAGTGTTTAGCCTTTTAACCCTGTTTTTATTGCCGGCATGGTGGGGCCTGGAGTAAAGACAGTTGTTGAGGTGACCCACAAATACTGTGTTTTCCGGCTATGAAAAGTGTGTTGTTAATTGGCAAGGCTTCAGGGTCTGTAACGGGATATGTAAATGTTACTTCCTCACCTGTTCCCGTGAATGTCTTGGCTTTGTTCGTGGACAGAGACTTGTCCTTCTTTTTGCATGCTGGTGAGCTCTTGCTACACAGGAGGAACCCCAAGTAATAAAGTGTGGAACCCCTTACCTTATAGCCTTTTACCAGGGCCAAAGACATACGCCATCTTGCAGTGGTCACTCGAGAGATGCCGTGCCTGCCTGCCTTACGTGGAAGTGTTGGCCCTTCTCTGCCCAAAGCCGTAGACCTGGATGTCTGTAAGGGCCAGATAGGTTTATAAGAATCAAATGTGGGCTGGTCATACTCTTCAGTTTTCTGGAGTATATGGCTTCCTTTTTTTAGAAAAGTTTTTATTTATTCTTTGACAGTGTCATACATGTATATGTATCTTGACTCATATCCAAGGCAGACTTTCCCTTCCACTCCCCCAGGCCCTTGGAACTTAGGACTTTCTTGTGCTGAATTTTCCTACATGTGGTAATGTTTTGGTACAAGTAATTCTTCAACTTTTTCCTACACTGCCACAGCAGAAAAGAAATGAGAGGGGTCGTGTTATGACTTGATGAGTTATAGAAGACTCAAGGATCAAGGGTACCTTTAGTACATTTGTGAGGTGCTGTATATGTGTAAATGTGGCAGTTTGTATGTTTTGGTTTTAGTCTTTGGGTTCATGGCCTGATTTGACACTCAAAACATTCTGAATTTTCAGTTTCATTTATCTTAATTACTAGTCTTGATGTTGGGACAAAACAACTGACAAAAAGCAACTTAAAGAGGGGAGAGTTTAAGCCAGGAAGGTGTGGGAGCAGGCCCAGCAGGCCTGGTCACGTGTTGGTCAGAAAGCTCAGAGAGATGGGTGCCAGTGCCTAACTCTCTCTGGAATTCCAGCCCTGGAATGCTCGTAGAGTCTAGGGCATGTCACCTCAGCAAGCTGTTGCTCAACTCTCCTACTAGCATTTCCCTAGCTAGAATTCTCAGCTAAGGTTAACAGAGTCTAGAATTAAATTGTGTGCCTCCTGATCTTTAAGAAGGTGACTTATTGCTTCTGGCATCAGGTTGGATTAAACTTGTTAACTTTAATGCCACTGGATTCTGTTGGGGCAGAAGAATTTATTGCTTACTCTAGAGAATGAACTTTTTCCTGCTGACTGAAGAGTAGAACAAGTACTAAACTTGGTGACCTGAAAGGGAGAGGTGTGCTTCTTTTTTCCGAGGAGGAACAGGCCCAGGGCATTGTGAGCGTGTGGTAAAAGTGGATAACTGAGCAATACTGACTTCTCTGGGACTTAGCCCTTTATCTCCTGCTGTGTGGTTAGTTCTGGCAAACCTGCAGTGTGCCTAAGCAGGGGCCTGCAGAGGATGAGGAAGGGAGAACATTAGCAGTCTCAGGAACTGGAGACTTTGGTTTAATTTTGTACTGCATACGGTTATCTTCTCCCCCTGACACCCTCCAGTCTCCTGCTGCTTTATAATCATTGTGTAGATTCTTTGTACCCTGCTGGCATCACCGGAAGTATCACAAAAGAAGACAAAAGGGCTGGCTAAAAAGTCCAGAGGAGCCAGGCTTGGTGGTGCACACCTTTAGTCCCAACACTGGAGGCAGAAGCAGGGAGATCTCTTGAGTTGCAGGCCAGCAGAGTCCACATGGTTCCAGACCAGGGAGGGTTACACAATGAGAACCTGTCTCAAAACAACACAAGTCCAGAGAAGGGAGTCTCAGATGTGTCCGAGTTTTGATTAGCTCAGATTTGACCAGTGGGGAGACTCCAGAATTACCGTAGCAGTTTGGGGGCCTGAAGGAATGGATCAAACCTTGCAATGTAAGGGGCATCTGAATTGTATGGTTTGTGAACTGTCGTGAGCTCTCAAGGTCGCAGCAGCTGCCTCTCCTTTGTGGTCTAGTTAGAACTCGGCACTCCCAGTGTAACAGGAATAGCTAATGCTCATGGATGCTTGCTTGCTAGGTGTGTGCCAGGAGCCCTGCTTGGTTGCATGCACACACACACACACACACACACACACACACACACACACACACACATATGATTTCATACGTTCTCACAATATCCCTGCAAGGTAAATATTAATATCTGTATAGATAAATAAGTATATTGATCTCCTACAGGATAAAGAAGGGTAGGACAACATTATTATATAGGACATTTTAGCTTTGGGAAATCATAATCTTGAAGTCCTGTCAGGCTAAATAGCATTTGCTTTGAAACAGTGTGCTAAGCAATGCTGTTCGTCATCACCCTTAGTCATCCAAAAGTTTAGACTGCAATACTCTGGCTCATTCTCTCACTTTATCTTTAGATCCATGCTCATCCACAGTGAAATAGGCTTGAATAAGTAGAAGAAATGAAGGAGCCATATAGTCCCTCAGGCGGCATGAGGCGGAGGGAGCAGGCGTGCTGAGCTAGTGATGACTTTATGGTACTTGGCTCAAGTTGGAATGTGTACCGTTTCTGAGTAGTCCTGGGTTTTCAAAGTCCCTAGTGTCCTCCTAGGAAGGACAGGGCTCTGCATATATGTCACAGTGTATAACTGCTTGAAGAGGATGTGAATGGTAATGATCAGCCATTTTTGTGACAGATAAGAGCAGAGACTGTACGTATCTCATTGATCTACATGTGTTCTTGTCATAGTCACAAGATGTCATGTGCTGTGGTAGGTCAGGGCATCCTTGTTTATAAGACGAAGACACTGTGGAAAACCTTTGAGTCACACAGTTACAAATGCGAAGCATTTTACATTAATATCATTTACTCCTCATAATAGGACTGTTATCTCTGTTTTAGGAATTTTGTATTTGTAAAAATATTTTAAAAAATATTTTTAAAGTTTTTATGTAAATGAGTGTTTGCCTATAGGTATCTGTGTGCTCATGTGGATACCTGGTACCAAGGCTGGCCTTGAACTTCTGATATTCCTGCTTCTCCCTCCCAAGTGCTGAGTTTGTTGGTGCATACCAAAAGGCCTTGCTACTTTGAATTCCTAGACCACAATGAGTTGGCATTGCAAAGTGAAATTTGACCCTGTTTTTACTTTAAAGGAGCCTGAGGTCACTGCATTAAATGCGGACTCCTCTCCTAGGGAGAGGAGTTTGATTAGCAAATGATGTAAGTAAGCACTTTGATGGTGTTGGAGCTTCCTTTAACGAACACTTTTCCTCTTTTCTTCTTTCTGGGTGTGTGACTAAATTGCCTACAGCATGCGGCGTGGCTGCTGGTAAAACAGGAGACGGGGTAAGTCACCTCTGTAGACCGTTTCTATCCTTTGCCATGAACCACCTGATTCTTAAAGTGCTTTCGCTCCTGTTGGCTCCCTCCCGGCAAACACCTTCACCATCGATCATGCGCGGTTTGCTTCCTGACATGGCAGCGTGCTAGGACAGGCACATTTAAAGTGGTTGTGGATACATATTACAAGCATTAGGCATTTTGGGAGGTTATCTTAAGAAAATAAATTTTAGATTTGTACTTGAAGCCAAATTATGAAACTAGCTGATAAGCCATGAAAAGTAAATTTCTGGTTGGATCAGAGTAAAGATGAGTTTACAGATAACATCTGGAAATAAAAATTGGCAATCCCGAAACTCTTGGAGACAAATGGTTTTAGAATTTAGATCTTTGGATTTTAGGAAAGTGATGTGGTGTTAAGTACTGGATATGTCTACCTTTCTCAGGGCGGTCCTGTGTAGTTAAAGAACAGGGACTGGGGAAGGGGCAGGGAGCAGATGAGGGAGGGAGGGTGGGGTTGGGAGGGAATAGGGGAGCAGGATACAGCTGGGATACAGAGTTAATAAAATGTAACTAATAATAAAAAAATTAAATTAAACAAAAAAAAGAACTGTTTCTGTAATGAGGAAAAACACGTGCATGGACTTAGGCAGACGGTGTCACACGTTCAAATCAGGGTCTGGTTGCCAAATGCACTTTCACAAAACATTTAATTCTTCAGAGTTTTTTTTTTTTTTTTTTTTTTTAATTTTAAAACTATTCTTTGACTTAAAAGGGGGCCATGGGATTATTGGAGGCTTCTATGTACTTTGGTGAGAAAAACCCAGAAGAAAACATAGAAGCTTGTCTGTGGTTCTGAGATTTATAGAAGAAAATAATTAACTTTTTTTTGTTTGTTTTGTATTTTATGTGTGCATCTTCCCTTTTGAAAGGAGAAATAACCTCGTGTTTATCAGAGGTTGCAGGCTTAATGAGGTTTTGGTTTCTGAGTTTCAAAGCCGAAAGGTTTAGGTAATCTTGTAGTTTTAGAACATGACTGCCATAATGAGAGCACGCCTCTCTCTAACTGCTTTTACTTTGCTGCATACTGCTTGGTAGTTACTGCTTTCATTTCTCATCAAAGGGTTTTTCACCAAGCTGTGTTTCTTTGACTAGAACTTGATCCAGATAGGAATGCTGGGACAGGAAATACAGGATGCTGTTTTTCTGTTAGTGTCTTCGTTCATTTTACATTAAACAGATCACAAAGAATTTCCAGTAAGGAACTGACTTAAGGAATTTAGCTGAAAGTAGTTGCTAGCATGGTTTGGTTGGCCTACCCTTCAGAGTGCCGGCTGTGCTCTAAGGGAGCTGAGTGCAGTGAGCATCATCAGTGGTCGCCTGACAGCAGGGAGAAGGGCAGTTAGGAAGGCCCCTGAGGGCTGCTGCCTTTGCCTTTGTATGTACTGACCCCTCCACAGGACAGTCAGATCCAGGCAGGGACCGCTGTGGGGACACGCATCGAAAGTGATACTAGAAACAGTCACATTTTATGATTTATCCTAAATATTGTATTTTTGTCCTATGTGTGAGTAAAGTTTTCAAGTTGTCAGTTAATCCTTTCCTTTTTAATCTGGAGGAGAAAAGTACCTGCAATTGAAGTTTTTTTTTTAACTGAATTAACAATTTTTAAATCCTTCATATAAACCAGTTGTGTTTTTTTTTTTTTTTTTTTCTTTCTCTTTAAACTTGTTTGAGATAATATTGTACGGTAAGGCTCTGGCTGGCGTGGAATGCCTAGCCACAGAACTGTGGGGATTCAAAGCATGTGCTATCATGCCTGGCAGATTATTTTAATGTATAATAAACAATGTTTTAACAGGATTAACTTTTACTGTAGCTCTAGATTTTAGGGTCTATGAACAATTATAAAAAATAGTTTATTTTTTTGTTTTACTTTTTATTTTTTAAAATGTATTTTCTTGGGGCTGGAGAGATGGCTTAGAAGTTAAGATCACTGCTGCTCTTCTAGGGGATCTGAGTTTGATTCCCAGCACCCACCCAGCAAATCACATCTAAAGCTCCACTTCTTCTGGCCTGCGTGGGCACCATACAGGGTGCCCATCCATCCACACAGACAGCACACACACATAAATAAAATTTGTTTAATGTATTTTTAAAAGATTTATTATGTATATATGTTTGTGTGTGTGTCTGTGCACATGAATACAGGTACCCTTGGAGGCCAGAAGAGAGAACCAGCTCCCCTGGTTGCAGAGCTGCAGGCAATTGTGAGCACCCTAATATAGGTGCTGGGAATTGCACTTGGACCCTCTGAGGGAGTGGTGCATACTCTTGACCACATTCCCAAAGACTCTCATATCTTGTATACACTTGCAACTCTGATGCTAGTTTATGCAAATGTAATTAAACTGTTGACTCAGTGTCTTAATAGTCTTTTAAAATATCTAAGTGTGGGCTGAAGAGTGGCTGATTCAATGGTTAAGAACACTGGTTGCTCTTGGAAGAGCTTGGGCTCAAGTTTGAGCACCCACACCAAGACTCACAACATCAGTGACTCCAGTTCCAAGGCATCTGGCGCCCTCGACTGACTGTGGCCCCAGGATGCACATGGCGCACAGACGCACAGTTTGTTTCGTGTTTGGGACAGGGTCTCGCTGTGTAGTCTCGGCTGCCTGCAACTTGAGATGGAGACCAAGCTGGCCTTGAACTCAGAGAGACCCTCCTGAGTGCTGCGTTAAAGACATGTATCACCATTCCCAGTGACATACAGCTTTGGAGTTTCCAAGCAAAATACGCATACACATAAATAAATCCAATACATACCTAAAAATATAGTTAAATATTTCTGATATTCAGAGAAGTAGAAACAGGTCATGAAACTTAATGTTTGAATAAGCTCTTAAATGTAGACAAGGAGCTTGTTAATCTGTGAAATACAAGACTTATCTGGGTATTTCACTGTTAAACTGTAACCCCAAAGCATCTTTAAGTACAACAGTTATGGTCTCAACTGAATATAGAATGGGTAGATAACTGGTTTTCAATTGCATTTTAGAGGAACAGTAGTTGTGTGTGTGTGTGTGTGTGTGTGTGTGTGTATACACACACACATATATGTATATATAATATGTATATATACATATTATATATATGTATATATGTATATATATGTATATATGTATATATGTATATATATAATATATAATATGTATATATTATATACTTTATTCCTATGGATTTTTTTCTTTTGCATGGGTGTGGGGTTACTAATTAGATCACGGGCAACCTAGCAGTGGCTATACTAGAACAGCGGTTTATACATTATTTTTTCTTTCCTAGATCAATTAATTGTAACTATTAACTCAACGACTTTCTGTTTCTTGCGGGCAGCTGGTAGTTTCTGCTGGTCTTGCAGATTATAAGGGGTTTGTAGGTAATAACTCCGTCAGTGAAAATTAGACATTAAGAGGGATGGCTCAAAGCTGTGTGGGGGTGCTCACCCTGAATCCCAGTACTCAAGAGGCAGAGGCAGACCGATCTCTGTTTGAGTTTGAGGCCAGCCTGGTCTACAGAGTGAGTTCTAGGACAGCCAGGGCTGCACAGAGAAACACTATCTCAGAAAAACAGTAATAAAGTTGTGACTAGATTCCACCCTGTCTGTTGTTACAGGCAGTCCTGTAACTGGCCATTGGGGTGTTTGGTATTTTAACGACTTAGATAATATAAGCGTATTGGTTTAGTAGTAATATCTTGGCATTCTCAACGGAGTAGAAGAGTTTTCATAACTTGTGCTAAGCACTTGTTCCCTCAGTTCATTTTATTACAATTGAAGACCACAGGATAAAGCTAGCTCTCATAATGGGCATTTATCAAAACCCATGTGTTAGCTCAGGAATAGAATTTGGGGGAATGTGGGGTTTTTATTTAACTAATATTACACTGGTGAGCACTTTCGAATGTTGGTACTTCAGGACTTACTGTTTCTTCGTAAGCAGTGAGGGGGGCAGAGTACAGCTTTTACTTGGATTTCCCATAAGTAAGCCCCATTTTCAGCAAGTAAGGAGATGTAAACATTTGTCACATGGCTATAACATTGTAATAGATGAGTTTTGTAATTTCCAAGCAATAGACATTCATCTTTTTTTGACCTTTCAGAATGTATGAATCTTGGAATCTAGCAAATCCAACTCAGGAAAATAAATTAATGTGCATTTATTTGTTAGTGAATCTTCAAAAATTGGCTCACATGCCACTAAAAATGTTGGAATATAAGTTCATGAGATGGGGAATTTTTGTCTGGTTATTTAATGTTCTGTCTACTGTATAAAATAGTGCCTGACAGATGGTAGGCACTCATTATTTTAAAATAATTGTGTACATTCTTTTCTTTAACATAAAAAAGTGAAGTTTTTCATGTCGGTGAATTAATTCTTATTCAGGAAGCAGAGCCTTTCTCTGGGAAGGAATGATGTAGTTCAGCTGAAAGAAGCCTACAAATGGATAACTCAGCCCCTGTTTTCTGAGGAGCTAGGAGTTCCCATTGATGGAAAGGTATCACGTACTGTTTATCCCTGGGTTACTGGGTTCACTTCAGTAGAAGACTTGGCTGGCCAACAGCATCCCTGTTCGTGTAACTCAAGGAGGGTCTTTGCAGGTTTTAGGTGTTCATTTAGAGCTATCTAAATTGATGTTAAGGCCTCTTCTCTGTTGGGTTTTTTCTCGTTGTGATCCAAGACACGTAGGAAGAGAGCAGTAATGTGAGCACATCGACTTCCAGGGTTTAGTGGCTCTTGAGCTGAAATGTGTTTGTAGTTTGCTGGAAGGACAGAGTTACTGTACAAAGCAACGGAGTAAAAACAGCACGGAGCCAGCGAGATGGCTCCGTGCTTAAAGGTGCTTGTCACAAAGCCTGATGGCCTGAGTTCAGTTGTTGGTGAAAAGAGAGAACCAATTACCACAGGTTGTCCTCTGATCTACCCATATGTGCGAGCGTGCACGTACACACACACACACACACACACACACACACACACACACACACACAAATGTTTTTTTTTTTTTTTTAAGAAGCTAAGCAAGCATTGAATCAACTCCAGACTATTCAATTTTGGTTTTTTCAAATACATAGACAGTAGATGTTTAACTACAGTGAAAATGCGCTTATTCTATAATGCCTGGAGGTGTTTCAGGTCTCTCTGTTTCTAGGCGGAGGCTGCTCTTGAAGCTGGGACACACGGACACTTTTTCAACTCTAGAGATGATCTGGCCTCAGTCCTGGGAATGGGTTGAATATCTGTGGAGAGCTCACCCGGTTTCCCTGAGTAAAATCAGGGCAAGTGCCTCGCTCATCAGAAATTAGACCCAGTAGTAGAGGCTGGCTGCTCATTTCACTTGAAGGGGTCCCTGAATATTAGATGCATCCCTACTCAAGTAAAAACACAGCACTATCTTCTAAAGATCATTATGTTTTCAGAACCACTCTAAATTATATACTCTGTATCATAGTAAAAATAATCCCTTTAAATTTTTTCACTTTTGAGACAAGGTCTCACAGCTCAGGCTGGCCTCAAACTTACTGTGTAGCTGAGTACTCCTAACTGGTTTGCACCCCCTCTTACGTGCTACGCCAGCAGGGTAAGCTCTCTAAACTGAGTGCTGAGAGATGAGTAAAACTACCTCATAGACGGACTGAAAAGGAAACGAAGTAATGAAAGTACTTTGGAAATTAGAGAAGTCATTAAAGTATACTGTTCTTACCTCAGATTTCAGTTTTGAAGCAGATAGTTTTAAAATTTACATACTGAGTCAGAGAACAGAGGTTGGGAAACAGAAGACCCAGTGATGTGTGAGCGGATTCCCGTGGTTTCTCTTTAATAGAAGATACTTAGTTCATTTTATTTGTATAAGGTAGATTAGGATCCAGAGTATAGTAGAAGCAATTTGTTGTTGTGATTGTCGAAAACAGGCTTGGTAAAAACCTAGTGAGCTGAGTGTAATGAGAACTCTTTAAGAAGACAGTGGCATGTGGCATTTGTAGCTTTTTCTTTAGTATCAAATCTTGACTATTCGCTGCAGAGCTAAGATGTATATAGCATGAAATTATTCACATAATTGCTACTTGCAGCGCTTAATTTAAATAATAGGAATAGTTCCTATAACTTGATGTCTCACAGTCCTTTCAACTGACAGGTATCAGTGAAGTGAGATTAACAAGACAGTTTTTCAAAACATTTAAGAAAATGGCAAGTGACAAACATACCAAATGGCTTATGGTTCCACCCTGGTGGGATGGAATCTGAAAAAAATCTTGCATTTGATTATTTTATAATTTGGAAGTATCACTTTTGAGAAAACAAAAATTAAGAACACTTTTTTAAAAGTCAAACTTGGATACTTTACAAAGTTTGGAGGCTAGGGACAAGGCTCAGTTGGTGTTTACGCTCATTTGGACCCAAGTGAGGATTGCCAACACACATAAAAAACCAAGCACATCTCCAGAGCGTGCTGGCCAGCCAGCCAAGGCGAACTGGTGAGAGACAGTTTTAGTCACAGGTCCCATCTCAGAAAATAAGGTGGTGAAAGACTGAAAAAGACATCCAAGGTTAGCCTCAGCCTACACACACATACACACACACACACACAAACACGCACACTCAGAGGCTTTATCCAGAATTCTTAAAGATTTGAATAAAATGTTTTTGTGCTGCAAACAGTTGGTCAGTAGAGACATGGAAGTTCTCTGGGGTTTTTAGTTACTTATTCCCAGTTCCCTGAGTTCTTACTCATCTTCATTCTTATGTATGCATTGGTCTGGCACTGATACAAGGTGATTTAAAAAATTAATTTAGGGCGGGATATTTGGGGAGGTTTGGATGGAGGAAAGGTAAGATAAAAGCATTGGAATTATATTACAGTCTCAAAACAAACAAACAAACAAACAAACAAAAAACCAAACCAAATCAAAACCAAAACCCAGTGACTTTGTTTTTGACACTTTTGGTAGTCTCGTTGATTACTGGGTAGAGAAGCAGCAGCTCCCTTCCAAAGCAGACAGGCAGGTTTGAGAGTGCTAGTAGTTGTAGTTTCCTTGTAGCTTTTCTGAACCAACCTTTGCAAGCTGACTTCTATTTCCATTCATAACTTGTCAGCTTTTAGTTTCCTTTTGCTCATTTAAAAACTGTCTTTATCATTTTTAGAGCCTGTTTGAAGTGAGTGTGGTCTTTGCTCACCCAGAAACAGTTGAGGATTGCCACTTCCTGTAAGTTGCCCTTAAAAAAGTGTCACTTATGTAAAATTTTTAGTGCTTTTCTTTTTTGTGAAGATAGTATTGTTTCTCTTTCTTGTGAATACTTCAGAACTTGTCAAGTCTTAGATTTAAAATGTGCAGTTTTGTAGAAATTCCTCAGGGAAATCAATACAGCTCACAAATGTACACACACACACACACACACACACACACACAAGTATATAAAATGTATTTGAATTATGTCCACCTCTTCTTTTTCTTCTTCTCCTTCTCCTCCTTCTTCTCCTCCTCCTTCTCCTGCTCCTTCTTCGTTCTTATTTTTGTTGTTGTTTTTGTTTGAGACAAGCTGTTACTATGTAGCCCTGGCTCTCCTGGAACTCACCAGGCTGGCCTTGAACTCACTGAGATCCACTTGCCTCTGCCTCCCAAGTGCCAGGATTAAAGGCATGCGCCACCACCGCCTGGCTAAACTTTCATCTTAACTTGACTTTTGTTTCAGAGGTAAAGTGTGCCGGGATTGTTTCAAACCAGCCAAAAACAAGCAGGTAAGTATTTTTACTTCTTATATTTCCACTGAAGTGAAGCTGTGTTCGGAGTGTGGCAAGAAGTGCTCTGTGACTATTTCTCTTTGGTCAGTGTATTTTTATCCTGTATGTTTGTTTTTTTCTTCTGGGTTTTTGAGAGCCTCGTTCAGGGTCACCTGGAACTCGTTAGAAGCCAGTTTGGCCTGGAACTTATAGCCATGGAAAGAACTCCTTAGGATTCCAACACTGCCACATTGCTGTTCCCAGCAGCGGCCCTGCTTCTCAGTACTGACACTACCTTGGTTACTTTCCCAAGGTTGTGATAAAATACTCTGACTGAAGATTTTTGGAAAGAAAGATTTCAGCTCACAATAGTGTACAAAAAGGAGAAAATGAGCTGTGCACAAGCATCCATCACTTCCTCTTCCTGGTGCCCTGATCTGTCCTGGCTGCTGTTATTAAGGACATGGACTGAAGGAAAGGCCTGCAGAAACCAGCCAGTTACAGACTGACATTAAGAGCATTTCAGTTTGACTTGCTTTCTTGGGACTATTATGTATTTCTTGATTTTAAATATGTAGGATAATATAATTTCTCTAATCAGTTGCGTTTCAGCTCTTGTCTAGTTGATATAATGTCTTTTCATTTCACCCTGTACAGTCAGTGTTCACCAGAATGGCAGTTTTGAAGGCTTTGAGTAAAATAAAAGAAGAAGACTTCCTCACGTAAGTATAGAAGGAAGGAGGCATTGTGCAGGTTTGGAAATGATGTGAATATTAGAGGTTCTACTGGCTGTCACTCAGGCTGTTGGCAGCCTCACCTCCTCCTAGCCTGACCATAGTACAGTACCTGATGCGTGTGAATGTTTATCTAGTTAACCCTGAGTCATCTGGCTTCCCTGTCTTACACACGAGGGGCCAGTTGGGGACTCTGGCACAACGTTTATCTGGTAGAGTTTAGGCCTGGGTTCATCCCCTGGGACCAAAACCCCAACTTCTGATTTGGAGAAGAGGATATTAATTTCCTAAGAAGGAGTTAAGTTATCAGCTGAGTATCGGTGCCTGTGGGTCTAGTGCTATCCTGTTACACTGGAATCTGGTCATTTTTAGTGTGGCCATCTCTAAGAAAGACGAGGAGGCCTGGGGGGACCCTCACTAGGACAGAAAAACACTGGCTGGCTAGTAAGGGAACCTGTCTTCCGATCCATTCTGTAGTCCACAGTTGCAATCTTAGCTATACCAGTTCCTTCTTTGGGCATTAATACCCTTCTCAAAAATATAAATTGTTAAAATATGTAGAAATGCAGTAAACTTTATATTTTAATTATTGGTGCTTAAAAAAAAAACCCAATTACCGTGGTTTTCCTTCTAGAAGATCCTTGAATAAATATCAAGCAGATCTTATGATAAGGGCTTCTTATTGTTCATGGACTAAAACGTGAGTCTTACAGGGGAAATATTTTCATTTAACTTTAAAAAGTAAAGAGTACTTTTATCTAGAGGCTGGAGAGATGGACCAGGTCCAGTTCTAGCACCCACTGGACAGCTCACAACCAACTGGAACCAGTCCAGGGAATCTGATGCTCTCTTCTGGCCTTTGAGGACACTAGACTGTCACACAATGCACAGACACATGTGCAGGCAAAACACTCATACACAGAAAAAGGATATTTATATATGTACCAGCTCCTGGGTTCTAAATGATTTCATGCTAAGGCATTTTCGGAAATCATAAAATATTCCAAAGCACCTCTGTAGGATTAAATTAAAATTTAATTATTTACAGATAGCCTCTAGTGTGTGGCTTGGGAAGTCCATTAGCCAAGAGATTAGAATCCTCAAATTTAGAAGTGGAGGAGGACCCTCCAGAGAGAGGGCAGACCTCCACAAGTGGATCAGTTACTCACCGCAGACCAGCTTTACACAAGCAATGAAGGCTCAGCCAGCCGCAGGTGACCAGATAGAGGGAAATGGTTGAAGAGCCTGAAGGGGCTTCTGCTTTGTATGTGGGGGTTTTCCCCAGAAATCTGGAGGCTGTTAGAAATTATCGCTTGGGAAGGTAGATCCCCTGACTGTGAAGGGCCATGCCAAAGCCCCAATTCGCTTAGTGCCACTGCTGTGTGTTAGAAGTGGTACTTTAGGGGCTGGAGTGTTGTCTCGGTGGTTGAGAGTACTGGTTGTTGCAAAGGACGTGGGTTTGATTCCCAGCACCCACGTGGGGGTTCACTGCCTCCTCGGCCACCAGGCACACGTCTGGCGTACAGATGTACATGCAGGCAAAACAGTTATACACATAAAATTATAAAAATAAAAATAAATCTTGAAAAGAAGTGGTACTTTACAGCTGATAAATATGGTAGTTTATGCTTGCAATCCTAGTCCTCAGGAGGCTGGGGCAAATGGATTATGGCTAGACTGTGCAACGTAATGAGTTCCAGACCAGCCTGGGAGACAGGGTGAGACCCTATCTCCAAGAGAGTATAGGGACTGAAAGATGGCTCAGCAATTAAGAGCACAGGCTCTTAATCTTTCAGAGGATCCAGGTACATTTCTCAGGATCCAGTGACCATTTCTGGCCTCCACAGGCATTCCACACATGTAGGCAAAATATCCATCCACATAAAAAAAAAGAAGAATAAATAAATCTTTAAAACAAAACAGTAAAATTTGTATAGTAAAGGCCCAAAGAACCCTTTTTGCTCCAAAACTTCAGAGTAGGAGAAGTATAGTCCTTGAGGCTGAGTTCTGAGTACTCAGACAGCCCAGACTCAGCTCAGTTTTGTGATATACATCTCAAATTTAAGTGTCCATAAAAATCATTTGTTTTGCAGGCACTTTCCTTGTCCTCCAAACTCACCAAAGACTGTATGCTCTGACCCTGAAATTGAATGTTCTCATGGTGCTGTTTTCGTTGCTGGTAAATAGCTCATCTAAAATATATACACCCGTGAGCCCCCTTCCTGAACTTCCACCCTTTTATTACTGATGGACGGATGTAGAGGCCTGAAACTGAGCAAGAGCAAACCAGTAAGGCAGAGGACGTTTAGTAACATGGAAAACAAACTTTAAAGCTAGTTTTACTATCCTCTCTGTGACTAAATCCTTGGCGTTATCCAGAGAAAAAGAAAATTTTGTATCAGCTTTCCTAATTGCTATACAGCTGACAGGTTTTTGTTTTGTTTTAAAAGTTATAGTTGCTCCTGCTAAATGCTAGTTGCTCTTTAGTCTTGCCTGCCTCCCCAGGCATCAGCAGCTGCTCTTCTTTTTCTTTCTTTCTTTTTTTTTTTTTTTTTTTTGTAGATTTATTCACAAAGCAGTGAGTCACTACTTGTTAGGGAGTTTTTCCTTTTTGTTTTTTTTAACTTAAAAAATTTCACAAATTTGATTCTCTGTAAATGATACATCATCACCAATGACCATTATAGTTAAGTTATTATTAGTTATCTGTAAAAACAAGTTTTTATGATCTTTGTTGTGTTTCACAATATCCTGTTACTCAGTGAAGTCATTTCAGTCATTTGGTACACACTATGTTTTTGAGCTAACTGTTCTACTGTTGCTTTAAGTCTTATTTACTTCTCTCCATGTCTGTGTGATGGCTTCCCGAGGTAGACTGTTTCTTAGTTAAAGGCCTCCTTTTATGTCCTAACATGTAGAGTAGCGAACTTACTAAATAGTTGTTACTTCCCTTTTTATCCTCCTATATTAACCACAGCATTCCATCCAATTACCTGGTGTTTCCTTGGCAGGCAGATATAACAAATACTCCAGGAATCTACCACAAACTCCATGGATAATTGATGGAGAAAGGAAAATGGAATCTTCAGTGGAAGAGTTAATTTCAGATCATCTCTTGGCAGTTTTCAAAGCGGAGAGTAAGTGTTAAGATGTTAAGTGTTTTACATACATTGTTATTCAGGAATAGATTCCTAGAGGCTCAAGGGAAGACTTCTCTGTTTTGTTAGTCATGCCCCGCCCGGGCTCCTTGGCTCCAGGCTTCTGTAGTACCGGCATTGTTAACGCCCGTGGGCCCAGGCTAGAGTTAGTACAGACAGCCAAGCGAGGCTGTC